TCAAAAAAGTACTCCAGAGTGTTGTTCAGCATGGGGGTGAGTAGAAAATGAAGGCTAATCATGTTTTGGGTGCACTATTCCTTTAAATCCCCTTTGTTTTTAAACAGACTGACGTTTTTGGTTGTAGCAGACAAAATGCAGTGATAATTTTTACACGAGGCGCTGCAGGCTGCATACATGCATAAATCTAACGCTGTCGTCTTTCTTCTGTCGTCAGGTCTAGAGCGATGCATTTCGACTTCACTCCGAGGAAAGGAAGCGGGATCTCCCGGCTGCTGCCTAGCTGCCCGGCTCCGGCTCTGTCGTTGCTTTATCAGATGCTCGCCTACGATCCAGATGAACGCATCAGTGCAGAAACAGCCCTGAGGCACACTTACTTTAGGGAAATCAGGTGAAGCGCTTTTCTAGAAGAGATGGGGGGGAAAAAAAAAAAAAACTTTCTGCATCTCTGAAGCTTTAAAACAGAGAGACAGTCATGTCATTGTTCAGACTTGTTAAGATTTTATCGATTTTGAGAAGAAATCTGGTTGTTTTCTTGATGTAGGATGGGAGACAAGAATTCAGACACTCTTCAGAGAGTTTCTGAGAATTTGGTGGGGACGCAAAGATCGTCTCAGCCAGTCTGGCGACCGCCCAGACCGGGCAAACAACTGAGAGGAAGACACCCCAGATTGACACCTTTAATAAACGTAAGTGAAAACTCTGCAGGTAAACCTGACAAATGGCTGAAGACCGCTTAAAGCTTGGCTTCTCCTCAGCACAACGTGAAGCGAGCAGCAGACCCGCTCAGCAGGAGGAACGCCCCCCATCCAGTGGAGCAACCCAGGACCAACATGGCCGCTCACGGACCTCAGCTGTCATTCTCATTCTGCACCATGCCTGCAATGAGCCGCGCCCACAGAGGAACGCTGCCACCCATCATGCCAAAAAAGTGCCAGTCACAGGAGCTCAAGGCAAGTCCTGCATCTATGGATGACTGCTTCTCTTAAATGAAACGCCATTAAACAAGAGATCAGTGTTTAGGTTTGACTTCCATGTCTCCACAGCCCCAGGAGGAGCCGTCTAGCACAGCCTTGAAGACCTTCTGCCTCCCACCTATAGAGAAGAAACCTGAGAGCAAAAAATGCACAAGAATGGGATCAAACCGGACAGACATGAAGAACTGAGTCTGGAAAACATGGAAAAACGTCTCAAACAGCCGAGTTGGAAAAAACAAAAGCAACAAACGACCATAAAAACTGCTTATCTGCTCAATAAATGTCAAGAGACAAAAGTACCACAATGAAAACCTGAAGCATCAGTCAATCATTAAAATGCTGTGAAAACATTTTTCCACCTGATTGGTTTTTGCTTTGTTGATTGTTTAAGATTAAACTCATTTTAATGATGAATTAATTGGGGTGGTAATTTGGCCTAAAGTGTCCTGTGTCTGCGTGGAAAAGTAAACAACCCCTGAATCTATGGAGCAGTTGTTCCATCATTAGCAGAAACAGCCGCTAATGAGTCCGGCCCACTCTGCTCAGGGCTATCCTGCATGAGCCCAGAGTAATCAAGTGGATTTTAGCTCAGACTTGGACTAGGCCATTCCAAAAAAAATCTGTTGCGTTTCAGATCACTGTCCTGCTTGATAAACCAGGTTTCTTTCTCAGGGTACAGAATATTTTCTCAAATGTGTTTTTATTTTTGTTAAATTTGAGCCAGACCGTTGTGCAGGGGTGGATTTAGGAAATGTGGGGCCCTAGGCAAAGACAGACAGGGGGCCCTTCTGAATCTAGAAGACACCACATAAAACAGACCCATTCTCCAGATAGAGAAATGTTAATAGAATATTTGTTCTAGGTTGTGTCCCTCTCTTCTTGTCCCTTTTCTTCTTGTTTTCCTCTCTATGTTTTGTACTCAGCTGACTTCTCATGCTGTCTCTAAAGGAATGAAAGATTTTTTCCAAGCAC